GTGTAAAAATGTGGTCTCACGGGTCTCACGAAAACAGGTTGGTCTCACGTGAACCCAACCCTATATATATATATATATATATATATATATATATATAGATGGATGGATTATTATGCAATCATTTACATTTGTACAACAAATATAGCTTAATCTCAACCGTCTATTTAATTTGATGAATATGTGATTTCATAATTTTTTTTTATTGTTTCCTAATATAAAATATTGATCATAATTAATGAACCTTAGTTGTCTTCCATAAATATTCAAATCATAATAAATGAACTCTCATTATTTCCATAAATATTTTAATTTATTGGGTTGCATTGTGTACAAATATGATGAGTTGTATTTGAAACGTCCTCTCTCTCTCTCTCTCTCTCTCTATATATATATATATATATAGACTTGGGATCACGTGAGACCAGTCTGTTTTTGTGAGACCCGTGAGACCACTTTTTTACACTTGAAACTTCACAACAAAGCGCTGTGAAAGTGACATTCATAGTGTTTTTGCTGTGAAGGTTCGGTCTTTTTTTTACCTTTAGAGTGTTTTGCTGTGAAGTTTCAAGTGTAAAAAAATGATCTTACGAGTCTCACGAAAACAAGTTGTTCTGACGTGAACCCAACCCTATATATATATATATACACGCACACACACATATACACTTAGAAACATGTGAGACAAGACTATTTTCGTGAGACACGATTTTTACGCTTGAAACTTCGCAGCAAAACATTATGAAGGTAACCTTCATAGCGTTTTTGCTATGAAGATTTGACTTTTTTTTTACCTTCACAACAGTTTGTTATGAAGTTTCAAGTGTAAAAATTGTATCTCACATGTCTTACGAGAACAGTCTTGTCTCAGGTGAATCCAACCATATATATATATATATATGTGTGTGTGTGTACGTACATATATATAACTATGAAATTGTTAATTATTGTATCTATTACTTCTGTTGGAAATAAAACAAATATATATTTGTACAGGGTTAGGTTTTGGCGAGAATAAAAGTTATGGGGAGAAGGTGAGAACAAAACATTCATGTACTTCTATATATATTCAACTATCTTTATTTATCTATTTTTATCATCATAGTCGAAACTTTAACAAATTTAACAAAGTCCGTGAAAATGACTTAAAAGCGAAAGCAAATTTAAAGATAAAAATAGATGAGTGTAATTCAAGGCATTGAAGGATGTTGAAAAAACCAAGTTTGACTAAAAAATCAATTCATCCAAAAGTTCACAAGTTTTCTCACCATAACTCTTATTCTCACACGATGCATAGTCTCTTTTTTACACACTTGGTATTTAGTTACGAGATGGAGCATCACCAAAAAGATTCCCCAAAATGGAGATCTTGAGGTTTTTGTTAGTTTTTTTTTATCAGATTATCTAAAATACAGAAAATATGAGTGGAAGAAATTTTTCAAATTTGAAGAATTATCCAAAAATGATTACTTAAGAGGTATAAATTATTTTTTATTTTTCTACCAATGAGAATCTTTGAAATTAAACGTGTAGTAGAGAAAAATAATATTTAATTAATTATATTGAATAATATAATTAATGTTGTAATCTCTAAAATGGAAAAATCGTTACAGTTGAATGTATTGTAAATGTTGTAAAAGTAAATAACATCATAAGTCCTACTTCTGACATGCATATAACTAGTTAGCTATAAGCAGTGAGTTCATGATTTTACAAGACTTTTTAAAAAAATTGAGACCTCAGTAACCGGTATGGTATATGTCACGACTCCTTAACGTATGGCTTAAAAAGGACTTATCCTGGCTTAAGTCGAACTTGCTTCACTGGACTCACCCTGTCCCGTGTCTCCTTAATGTGTCACCGACGCCCTGATACTTGAACCTATACGTATAAAAACTCGTTTCAGTGAAACATATACGTATTCCCATACATCTGTATCTTCTTTTCCAAGAACAAATTAAATGCAGCAAACATCGAAAATGTTAACACATACTGGTTCATGCTAAAGATGCAGTTCATACCTGCCTATACATCCCATTTTAAATGGCATGGGACTCATATGAATCAACATAAGCTCCTTACTCCTTGCTTGCTTACAACCTACACTAACACCATTCATGTGTTAGAGTATTTGCACTATCTAGCCAATACTAATGTTATCTACAAAGCACAACCTCCTCCGACAATTGGGGCCAACCCAGGTTAATGCAACTTTGATCAACGACCTAAGTTAGTTGCTCTTGTTCACGGTGCCATCTTACGCGAGTTGGACATTTTGACCTAACTACCTCCTATACTAGCTGAGTTGGCGACTTAAGGTCTGCCCTTAGTGGCGACGATCTACCTGGGTGACCAGTGACTTTCCTAGGTCGCTGACGATGCACGAAACTTCTATTCTTTGATGTAGTGATCCAAAATTCTTTTGGAACGAAAAATGGTTTCAGAAATTCTTTTGGAAGAAAAAGAAGTACAAAATTTCCATTTTCTTTATTTTGGTAATTTGTGATATTAATTCTCTAAGTGTGATTCTTTTTGCACCAAAACACTTAACTCCACACTAATTGTTTCAAATTGCCACCATATGTCCTCTTGTTTGAGTTTTGGATGATTTCAGTCCCTAAGCTTTCCAAAACTGATACAACCAACAACTTTAAACTTATTATCTGTAAAAATTTGGCATGTTACAAAATGCCACGAAACATTTTGGCATATTTGGTAGTTACTGAATGGTTTGGTGCAGATGAAATATAATTGTTTACAATGAAATTAGGGCGCTGAATGGTTAAGGGAGGCCCATGATGTAAAATCATTCAGAGAATTTTAGAACCATTAAAAAAAATCTTTTTTTTGTCAAACAAGATTCACCTCTTAACGATTCAGAGGCTGCATCTTAATGAAACTATTAAAAAGTAAACAAACAACCCCTTACTAGTCAAGTTAAATTCTACATTTGCCACTTGATTTTTGTTGAGTTGACACTTATTTTTGAAACAAATTATCATGCACTATTATAAATCACTATTGTTTAATATCATATATTTTTCAAATTAATTTTTTAATAGCAAAAATGCCGTGAAGGTACAAAAAAAATTGAATCTTAGCAGCAAAAACACCTTCACAGTGTTTTGCTGTGAAGTTTCAAGTGTAAAAAAATCGTTTCACGTATCTCACGAAAACAATCTTGTCTCGTATGATCCCAAGTCTGCGTACATATGTATATATGCGCTTACAGTGATTTTTTTATGTCTAATTGTCTAAGCGGTTTAAATGATTTACACTAGTTAAGATTGGGATGTGAAAATCTCATTTCCCTTGTGATTAAATCTAGACGTTGTCAAAGCCCTTATAACTATGGAGGTTCACCTGCGATGACTTCAAGCCATCCATGTTTACTTGTGTGATTAGGTTGTGCACGTTGGTTCGGATACGCACAATTAACTAAAAAAGGTTGATTGCTTCCATCTTTAAACTTTTGAAATGCTTTGTAACCAACGATAAGAGTGGTTTAAGTGGTAGACAGGTGATTAGTGATTAAGCCACAACTTAATGAAGTGGTGAAAGATGCTTTACAAGTCAATAGTCATGTAAAGTTTGAAAAGTTCGACTTAATGAACTTCTTAACCATTTTTCAAAGACCCCACCTCGAGAGAGAATATATTGGACTCGTTTAACTTGATTTATTAACGATATTTCATGAAAAAGCAAGTATTTTCATATGCTCATTTGACATAACACAATATAGATTACTAGTAACAAGTACATATCTTGATAACAATTACATGTCTTTGGAATCATTCAAACTCTCCAGAGATCGATAGGCTAAAATCGGGACTAACAAGCTGTATATGTCCTTACTACTTACGATCACACGAACTTTTGCAAAAACTCTTGTGGGATTTATGATAATGATCATATGCAGATAGCGTCGTTTGTGTTGGCAGGACGTGTATATAGTCCTAGAGAAGCGAAACGTCCATGGGATAAGGATTCCCGAGGATGTTCTCCATGAAATAGGGAGGATGAGCAGCGTCCATTACCACAAACTGCATGTCTTCAGACGGCTTCCAGTGTCGCTTCCTTTGATTTATGAACCAGTTGTTTATCTGCTTCTGATCTAGTCCGGTTGACTCGGCCAGTGCCAACTTCTGAGCCTCCTGTTCACAAGAGGAGAAGATTTAGACATCTTTAATCCTATAAACTTAAGTCCTATAAAGCAGCCCATTGTACATTAAGGGTCTATATGTTAGCAGCTTAACAAGCTTAATGAGACTTGCAGCTTATACGATCATCTATACATGATTGTTTGATAGTGGCTTAATGATATAGAAAGTGGCTTATTCAGGAAGCTTTTAGGGGATAGCTTTATGCAGAAAGACAAGTTTCTTTTTTCCAAACCTGCCTCTCCAAATCAAAAAACACCTTCCAGGTATGAAAACCCCTCATAAGCAAAAAGTTTCTGAGTCTATACAGACGGTAAAATCTGCACATATCGCTTTGTTCGTATAGGACTTAACGGATTTGGAAGGATTTAGATCATTTGAGGAAGATAAGCAGTACAAAAGGCAATAACGATATCAAAGGAAACGGCATATCAGCGAAGAAACTTGATTAAATTACCGAAGGGTATGGCCATTTATAATGCCTAGTCCACCAGTCGAGTAACTGTTGACGAGCCTCCTTGGGCAACTTTCCTTTCTTTCTCTTCTTCATGAACTCTTGTTTGAGACTACCTAAATACCCGCTATACTTGCGCAACAATTGACCTTTTAACTCCCTATCCTCAGCTTGAGGATCTATGAGATTGTTATTTACATCCACCTCTTCTTCGGATGATCCATTTTTCTCCGTACCTCCTTCACCACCACCTGATTTTGCCATCAAATGATATCACAGAAATGATCAATCAAACACAATGCTACAAGTTAAAGCAGTTATGAACAACACTTTCTAGCAAATTGATTGGTAAAGGCGATAATGTCATTCTTTCGATGCATAAAGATTTAGTTTCTTCAGAAACTACAGTTTGCTACATGTATCTAGAACAATAGAACACACAGAAATCACAGCCAACTGGTTTCTTCCATATGGGTTTGCTACAAGAATCCTAATGAATCCATAAAACATCGTTTAACTAGTAGTTATAGCTATATGCACCCCTATTTATGTCAAAATCAGGTCAATTCATGTTGCTATATGCATACATAAATCAAAAGCGTACATTAGAAATGAAAAAGGAACTCTTGATGTTGATGTTTGTGAGGATATTAACATGTAGGGGGTGCATATAGCCAACCCCTATTAAACCCTTTTGCCCTTGATAGAAAACCAATGAAAACATGTTTGAGGCAGCTTGAATTGCAGGTCCTTTCACCTGTTTTTGATCTTTTTAACAAACAACTTGCCAAATGCATGCATCTACATCACATCGTCAATGCAATAAGCGGTGGTAGCTTAGATCGATGCATCTTTTTCGTCCAAAAGAAAGGGTCGGAATGCAAAGAACACCGAATCCTAATCCGTACATAATCATAGATTTACTTAAAATCACCAAATAAGAAGTTGTGTTCATCAGTGTTAAACTCCTTTACTTTCTAACCCTTGACCAAAATAGTGGAATCACTACCATCCAAACCAAAAATAAATACAACTTCGTTTTTTTCCCTTGCCTTACATGGGGGTGGAAATGGCAACATCACAGGGTAAAAAACAATGTAATATTCAACCTGTTCTTGCCAAGAAAAGAGACATATAATTGTACTTTGTATATCTACATTCCAAGGGTGAAAAACTGGAAATTTGTACAGGTTATTTCACTAGTAAAACAGTGCAAAGCTTCCAAGATTGGAGTGAAAGATTCATCAGATAGGTCCATACACATGGCTATAGATCATTTAGGGTCCTCACCTGCAAATCTTTACATTATACATGCATATGGATCAAACATAACACCATAGGGTCATATTATAGATCATAGATGAGCCTTATATATCATAGTTTCATGTTTATATATAGGAAAACACTAAACCTTAGGGAAAAAAAGGAACTTTCACAAGAATATGAAACTGTAGGTGAACTATTGTCAACTCTTGGAGTTTGTGTTTAGACAGAATTTGAGATCTATGATATGAATAGTACTTTTTTTGGTGATTGATATTAAAAAATACTATGAACCAGATGAAGGATTTCCTCATGATAAGCGTACAGCATGAACAACCAATAAAAACACTGTTTTTTAATTTAGTAATGAAATCAAGAGTCTAATCTTGTTTATTAAACAAAACCCATGAAAAAAATATCAAGATTAGAACTATGGAGAGAGAGAGAGAGAGAGAGAGAGAGAGAGATGGTGCACCAGAAGCTGAGGTAGAAATGGAGATGGCCTTGAACTGGGACTCGACTCTTGAGAGAAAAAGCATGGCTTCTTTAAAGGGTTTCGAGAGTTCTTGTTCATATTTAATGAGCATCTCACAGTAAGCTTCCATGAACTGATCGAGTGCTGGATCTTGTCCGATGATCATCATATTCATTCCACCACCGCCACCACCCCCGCCGCCATCACTCGTACCAGCCTCGCAACCAGCGGAGGCGGAACAACTGGACATTGCGGCCACCACCGACGCTCTACAAGCTTCCTCTAGTCTTCCGACGACTTCAGGTGGTGCTCCTATCTGTGTTTGGTATTGATTAATGAAAAGATTCTATCACACTGTATTCTTGATTACACACAACCACACGCTATAAATATGATGAATGCATCTTAAAGTGAATACAGACGAAGAAACTTAATGCATCTTAAATGAGGTATTTTCCTGCAAATTTATTCTCTATTCAACAGATTACATATATGTTGCTACCAAATGAAGAAATGGCTAAAAGAAATGATGTCATACACACAAAAACACACAAATCTAGGAAACCCACTTCTGGCTTCCTTCTTACAAATCGTTGGATTCAAAGCGTGTGTCTACCGCATACTAAATGAAGCAAGAGCTATGATCGAACACAAACCCCCTGAAAATAAATCATTTCTTGATTTCTACTCAAGATTTGTTCTCGACTTCAAGAGCGTCTTGATGGCGTCTTGATGGCTTGATGCAGTACTTGTACCTTTATTACTCTCTCTCTCTCTTAAAAATTAATGCTTTACTGGTATCTTCTTAGATTGTAACAAATGCAGAAACCAGTAATCACATACTCTCTCTCTCTCTCTCTCTCACACACACATGTGTATATACGCTGAAATCTGAAGAAACCCACTTCCATTTTTTGTTTATGCTGTGAATTATATTTTATATATATATATATATATATATATAGAAGTAGATAGATCTGTGCTTGATGATAGGTGTGTGTGTGTGTATATATATATATAGAGAGAGAGAGAGATGGGGGGTTTTGAGGAAGAAGATATACCTTTTGACAGTTAAGATAAGCTGATAAGAGACGAGGGTAATGAGGATGAGACATGATCTTTGCTCGAATAGAAGAACAGGAGGAGGAGGTCATGAACCCCAACCCTCCTCCTCCATCGTTGATATTAATGTTGTTGTTGTCTTGAAGCATCAAAGCAGAAGCTGAAGTCCCACAATTGCTATGATGATGATGATGATGATCGGAGTAAATTAGGTTATTGTTGCTGTATGCAACAGGAGGTGGAGGAAGACACAGCGACCCAATGTTGTTATTATTACTATTACTGCTACTGTTGTCTCCAAAACTCATCAAACATGAAGTACCTCCACCACCACCACCACCACCCTCCATCTCTCTCTCTCTCTAACTTGACATACTGTCTGTAAAGATATGTATAGCAGGCCAGGATATGGAGGTACTACGTGTATTTTTGTGTGTATATTTAGAGAGAGAGAGAGAGAGAGACTTGTTGGCTTTGGCTTACTTGAGATGAGGGGGGTGTTTCTCCCGAGTTTTAAGCTTACAAAAGGGGCTTTTACTGAAAATCATACATAAACATGATCTCAAGTTTTCCATTTTCTAAGAAATAAATTAATTAATTAGGCTTCTTTTTTTTATACACAAAAAAAGATACATAATTTACAACAAAAATAATTGAATCAATTTCATTTGTTATATGAATAGGAAAAAGAAAAGATATCATTGAAATCTTCTTTTGTTTTATATATAAATAAATTCTTTAAATTTGTTAAGAAAATGTTTTTTTTTAATTTCAAGAAGCTAAACAATGCTATATGAATTTTAGAAAACGTATACTAATATAGATGTCAAATTAACGAAAAAAATATGATCGTTTTTTATATAATGTATTTTGTTCGAATTTTATTTATTTTTCGGGTTTTTTTCGAATAAAACATAGGAGGGTTGAGGGTTTTTTTAATTAAAATATTGTTATAATGGTTCATTTAATCAATTAGTGTTACGATTAATAAAATGGTTTCTAGTTTTTTTTTTCATTTATTTAGGATTTTTCCTTAAACATCTGTGTGTGTGTGTGTGTTTGTAGAGAGTGATAGAGAGGGACGGGGAAGATTCAAATGAGGACATGATTAAAATAAAAAAAACAAAAGCAACCAAATTACATGTAACGTTACACTTAAATGACATGGGATTACGGAACATGGTCAATGTGACAGTATGTAGACTACTTGACCAACGACACCAAAGTCATGGCGTATTCATATATGAATTTCGGTGTAAAATCAAATGTGATTTGACGGTTCTCGTGTTCTCTTGTTTTTGACATTGTTTTCATTTGAACCGAACTACATATATGGATAGTTTATTTGAAAGCCGAAAATATTTTTGATAGCTACATGAATCAGTTATTCACACTGTTCTAAAAAGTTCGCCGTAACAGCCGTCATGGCTCAAGGTACGTGTCTCATACGACATTAAGCCTGTTCATGGGTGTAACCAAAAAGTTTATAAGTGAAACAATATTTTTTGTTTAAAGTTCATTATGAATTCGTTTTAAAATGATAGATTAATGAAATAATTAAGGAATGTAATAATTAAATGAATGACATAACTAATGAATATGATATCAATATAAGAAAGACGGTTAGCACAATTTATAGTAATTAGGCGGTTAAAAAAGTGTCCCTCTCTCTCTCTCTCATAGGGAGAAATCAAATTAAAACCATAATACAAAGAAACACCTCCTATATAATATTATGTTATGTAGTTCAATATATATATATATATATATATATATATATATATGTGTGTGTATGTATGTATATGTATATAAGGGACAATTCAAGTGAGAAATGATTAGTTTGTGGTAATCGTGAGATCTAGTATGAACCACTCATTTGAGATATTTAAGGATATCTCTTAAATAAGCTAAAATGATAATATAATAATTCTATTTTTAACCATTGATGAAAATATTTAATTAACTTTTTTTAGAAGGAAATATTTAATTAAAATTAGTTAACTAATATATATTGTATTTTAAAGACGTTTGTGAATCAAAGTCTATCATAGTGATAACGTTCACAATGTATTTTCTTTGTTTTATGATTTGTAGTTGGGATTGGATCTCACGGTTACCACAAACAAAACAGTTCACATTTGATTAAACTCCTATGCGTATATATGTGTATATGTATATATATATAGAGAGAGAGAGACTTGGTATCATGTGAGACAAGGTTGTTTTTGTGAGACACAACGATTTTTACACTTGAAACTTCACAGTGTTTTTGCTGTGGAGATTCAACTTTTTTTTTACCTTCACAACATCTTGTTGTGAAGTTTCAAATGTAAAAATCGTGTCTCACATATCTCACGAAAACAGTCTTGTCTCATGTGAACCCAACCATATATATATATATATACACCCACAACACTAAAATAACATGATAAGATACATAAGTTTATGAAAGGGAAATTGTTTTTGTCTTTTTTAATGTTTGTTTTGTTGATGGGTATTTGTCCACTCATTTATTGCTTATTATTCTCCCTTGTTTCTCCATGTATTGTCATTTGTCCCCCTCCCTAAAAAGCATGTGCCATTCGTACCATTACTTATCAACAAATGGCTTCAAACCACAACTAAATTGCATTACTCCATTAATACTTGACACGTGTCCATCTATATATTTCCATGTTCAGCTTCTTATTGTCATTAAGCTGTCTAATTTAAGTTGATAAGAGTCTTAACATAATTCCATGAAGAGCTTTAAGCCATCAATAAAACGTGATCTTATTTCCTTAACCAACAAATTTTATAAAGATCGATCTTTTTAGTACGGGTTTTTTTATTGATTTAATTTTTTATACGACTTTTTATATGACGTGTTTGTTCTGTATTTATAACTGATATGAGATTTGGAAGAAAAATATATGGAAAATGACGTAACTGCAGATCAAATTTTATGCTTTTTTACCTGCAAGCTCATGCATAACAACAAACGGTACTATATTTTGGCGTTTACTTGCTATGATGCGACGCCTCTTGGTTTTGTGATGTTCTCCTCTGCCTCGTTAATGTCCTATCTGATGATCTCCTCATGCCCCTGCATAAGGATATCATTGTGCCGAAAGCGATTTTGTTATGATTTAGACCCACCATACCATAATTTATGTACCTGATCATATGTAATTGTGTACAATATGATGACATACACAATTACAAGTGATTGTGTATGTGATCCTTTATATGGGGACACATGATCATACATATAACCACTTCTGATCATATGCATATGTGATTATATATGTACTTGTATCACATACTTGTTAAGCGTGATATAAAGTACTATGATATAATTAAACGTATTAGATGTAAACTGTTTGATAAACCAATGTTGTGTATTTGTGTATATGATCACAAAGTTGTAAGGGTTTGTGCGTTAATGTTGAACCTATCTCTCAGTGATTTGATGATAATCCATTTTCTCTTTCACGTTGTATTTGTGTTTCTGTATTTTCAGTTCCAGCGATCTTCACTTAGTATGTTCAGTGATCGCTGAAGAACTTGCATTGTAAATTTATCAGAGACAACAATACTTCAAGAAGACAACATTCACACCAAAGAACCTTCAGCAAACGTCGAAGACTGAAACTGAAGATTAGAGACCGGCGAGTACGTGATATGAAGCGGTATTCAGTGATTACAAGTCTGTCTACATATGTGTGAAGACTGCTCAAGCTTCAGCGAATGATGATGAGACCTTCAGGTTATTCCAGCATTCAGCGATCAAAGGAAGCWTGCTTAGCACGATTGTTGTTGTCTTGTCCTTATGCACACAAAGGACAAAACCCATACCCTTACAAAAGTTAGTACGGTACGGAACCGATTAGTTGACTTTTTGTCCACCAACTTTAGGTAAGGATGTCTGCTCAGAAATAGTGTTTTTGTACTATTCACTGTAGCAAAGGACAAACCTTCCTCTTAAGGTTTGACACGCACTCTAAACCTACCATATTGCATTAAATGGACATGTAATGCACTGGTATAAATAGAAGTGTTTCTTCTCCATGCAGAGAGCGTGCATATCTCTCTAACCTTATTCTTACTTCAAGCATCTTCTAGCTTAAGTAAAGGATCTTTCTTTTAGCAACTTCTTTTCTTGTAATTGCTAAA